CACCCTCATCAAGTACCACCTCATCACCCAGCGCCAGGCCCTCGCCGAGCGCAGCCGCCAGCTGTTCGAGCGTGACAACGCCCCCGCCGGCGTGGGAGGCAAGGTCGCCGCCCTGACCTGGGAGCGCCTCCTCGCGAACAAGGACGTCATCCACAGATGGCAAGAGGTGAGAAAGAGCAACCGCCCCGCCCTGACATCCGCCAGGAGGAGCAGATCTGGCTAACACGGTCTCCTGTTGGAAAGGCATTGGCCGTCATGGCGCAGCCCAGCTACGTCCCCGAGTCGATCAAGGAGCTCGCCGCCCTGTCGGACGAGATCTGGTTCCTCGCCGGCGACACCGCCGTCGACCCCTCGTGGTACACGAAGCGCGCCACCCTGTCCATGGTCTACACCACGACCGAGCTGTCCATGACCAACGACCACTCCCCCGACTACGTCGAGACGGGCAAGTTCCTGACCCGCCGCCTGGACGAGGTCAAGTCCGTCGGCGGCGCCCTGGGCAACATCGGCCAGTGGGTTGGCTTCACTGCCAACGCCGGCATCAATATCCTGAGAAGCAAGGGAGTCCGGATATGATATGATGTGCTGTCCAGTCCCCATGTTTTATATATGTAGCATAATTGTAAGACCTTTGTATCATTACTCACTACAGGATCCCACATCTGCCGGTTTCGCATTTCCCATAGGCGCCCCTTGAATACCAACCAAGGCCATATAAACCCAACATGAGAAATGACCCATGTACCAACTAAATGCCGTTCCTGAAACTCCCTGCTTGCCGTTACTCTTGTACAAATCGCCCCTTTTTTCCCTCGAAGTAGGTAGATTCCAATAATGCCCGCCAAAAAAAAAAAACCAAAGCAAAGACAACCGCCATTATTCTGCCATCATATCAGGAAGAGTCCGTTGCCGAGGATCCGTAAGTCTAGTTATACTGTTAGCTTCGTGCTCTTTGAGCTCTCGTCGGATAGGGCGAAAATACCTGATAATCTTGACATCGGCCGCCAAGCTTGCGCGACCTTCAATCGCATTAGGGGTAATAAGAATATATTGCCGTGATACCGCGCGGCGAGCAACGTCCACCTATTTGAATCATGTTAGCCTGCCGCTCATTCTGACTAAAGGGAGGTCAGGGAGGTCAACTTACCAGCATGTTGGTACTGATGCTGCGGTTCACATTGTCCATGAAGACGTCAAACTCGTCCAGGCATCGAATCGGCGACCCAATAGCTTCCCAGATGGAGAGCAGCATGCAGACGGATGAGAAGGACTTCTCACCTCCAGATAGAGTCTTGGTGCTCCGAGCAGATGCGACCTTCTTGGTCTCATCTGGCTCAACACTGACCGACACCTTCTTCGCTTTATGGTTGAGTTCTATCTTCCCACGGTAGCCACGTTCGCTGAGCAGATAGGTGAACTGGATTCGGACTCGAGCACTGATTTGGCGCTGGAACTGGCGCCATAGATTCAAACGTTCCCGGATTGAATGCTTTAGAGTTAAAATCGTGTCATCCACTTCCTTGATCTCTTTTGTTGCGTCCTCGTATTTCTTCGTGGCTGCGGCTGACCGCTCATAGATTTGTTCATCCGTAGCCCCGAGACGTCTTGCCCGCTGATCCAGTTGCTCTCGCAGCTTTACGTACTTGCGTTCCATGCTCTGGAAGGTCTCGTTTTCCGGGATCAGCACACGAGTTGGACAAACCTGTTCTGCCGAGTGAGTGAAATTCCTGACCATCTCCTGCTGCTGCTCGATTCTGTCCGCCACACGTGGTCGTTCAGCCTGGTCTATTTCGAGGTTCTCGAATGCCTCATTCTTCTTTGCCAGCGCAATGCGTCGCAGGTCCTGGAAGCTCTTGAGCTTCTTCTCAGCTTTGTCAACTTTGCCCTGGTACTCGTCCCGTATTCCCTGCTCCTCCGTCAGTTTCTCCTTGGCCTTTTTGGCCCTCTCCTGCATATCCGACTTCGCCACCTTGATAGACCCGTACTGGTTGCCCAGGCCCTCGATTTCATTCTCTTTGGTTGTCAGATCCTCTCGTAGCTGTACAAGACGGCCGTCAACACCTTCAAAGGCGTCCAGGTCGATCTGGACTCTCTGGACCTCGGCCTGGACCTTGCGGATTTCGATTTCCAGTTTTTTCAGCTGGCCTCTGCTTCCTTGCTCAATTCCTCTGGCTTGCTGGAGTTCATTAGACGCAGCCTTAAGTTGCCTTTCGAGCTCTCGCATTTCGGTTCCCAGTTGTTTCATGTGTTCCGTGAGCACCAGAATATGGTTACCGGCATCAGTCCGCATCCTCTTGCGATCTGTAGCAGGTGGTACTGGGCTTGTGCTAATATTGCCATTGCGGCTGGTAATCCTGATACCAAAACCGCGCTTCCCCTGTCCATCATGAAAACACATGCAGGCATTGACATTTCGCGGTGGGTGGTCAGTATCGACCATGACTTTTTCGGCCTCAACTCGGCTTTTGATCAAGATGATCTTCTCGATTTGAAAGCTGATGATCATCTGAGTTCTGACCAACTCGTTGTCAAACTCCAAGACGCGCATAATAGTAGTGTACTTTTCATCGGGCTCCTGTCTCGAAGTGTCGATTCGTCCGCTATAAGCGATGTAGATTGGTGGTGGTTTTGCGATCCCGACCCGTTTCATGAGATTCAAAAGCTTCTGCTGGTCTTGTTTGCTGCGAACCACGAATGCGTTCAGGCCTTCACCAAATGTCCTCTCCAAGATGCCAGACCATTCGGGGTCGAGTAATCTTACATGGGCACCCATAGGCCCGATCGGCTTGTGTTCGAATGAGTTGTCTTTCTCTATAGCCGCGACAAGATCGCGTGTTCTACCGTCGTAGCCATCTAAAGCTGATCCAGTACTTTGCTTGACTTCTTGAATGTTTTTCTGGGCTTGAATGATTTCCTTGCGTTTCAACTCTTTGGCTCTGGAAACAGTCTCATATTCTGCTTGAGCCTTTTCAAGTCTCGATTCTTCCTCGGGCTTTCCGCCGAGCAACTGTTCTTGCTTCTTTATCAAGTCCTTTTCTTTGGAGAGTGCGTCGGCTAACTCGGAGTCTTTTTGTGCCCTTTCGGGACCTGTTGATTCTGCTAGCCGCTTCTCCTCCTTCTCAATGTCTTCTTGGATATTTTTGAGTTCCGATGTCGCATTTTTCATGCGAGCGTGCGCGTCTCTTTCTTCCCGGTTCAGGTCAGTCAAATCCTTCTTTGCGCTTGCAAAGTCAGCCTCTGCGGTTGCAATTCTGTCTTCGAAGCCCTCCCGCTCCTGGTCAAGATCCTCTCTCGACTGCTTATGCTCCTGCAGCTTCTGATCCAGAGATTCCAGGCCTTCTGTCATTTGCGCGCAAGTCTCCTGACGCTGCACAATGCGCTGGTCATGGTCCTCGAGGGCCTTCACTCTCTTTTCCAATTCTGTTTCCTGCTCTATGACCTGGCTCCATGCCAGCTGGCGTCGATAATGACGGGCTTTGTCGCGGAGGGTATTATTCTTCTGAGCAGTCTCAGCAAGTCGCCTGGCACTTTCCATCTCTTTCTTGACAGAACTAATTCGCTCGTTCAAATCATCGCGGAGAATCTCGGTCTTGTCCAGTGTGTCCTGTGACATCTTGTAATCGTTATCGAGCTGTTCCAGCTGAACTCCGGCGACGAAGAACTTGTATTTCTGCGATGGCGAGGACGAGTTGAGAAATTGCCTGGCATTATCCTGGGATAGAACAATCAATGGGTTCCCAATTTGCAAAGTATACCACTCGGAGATCTCGTCGACTTCCTGCTTCTTGGTAGAGATAATGCCGCCGGCCGAGTTCTTGATCTTGAATCCACTGGAACCGGTGCTCGAGAAGTGTCGTTCAACCACGATCGAGTCGCCGTAGAGGTCTGGTTGGTAGGCGTCACTGCCGCAGTTCTTGATCTTGACGACCAGCCGAGCTTTGTCACGACCTTCCTTCACGAACGATCTCAAGCTCCCGCCACGGTTTGTGTCGCTTGCTTTGCCTCCGAGACAGAGTGTCAGGGCTGTGAGAACTGCGCTCTTGCCACTGCCGTTCTCTCCAACGATGAAGTTGAGGAGGGGCCCGAGCTCGACATGAAGTCTGTCGTGACACATGAAATTAAAGCACGTAATGCTCTCGATAATCCCACTCTCGGCAGCGACATTGTTCCCGACCTTTCTCATTTTCTGGGTCAGCTTTCTGGCAGCTTCGTGGTCGTCTTCTTCGATGTTGTCCAAGTGCTTGAACCCATCATCTCGCATTATCTCGTATTGGCTTTGAGGGGGCGGCGCCAGATGGGCGGGTGCGACATTGTCATCGTCGTCCGAATCCGAGGTTTCTGGGGGTAGCGAACTCTCGTCTACGACGTCGGACACGCGCACTCGTTTTCTCTGTTTGACGGATGTGAGCAGGCAGCAAAAACGGACGTTTAGAAATCCCCCTTACAGCATCAGAGGAGCGCAAGGCTCCCGCCTCACTAGACTCCCCGGCTTCATCCCGCAGGGCGCGTTTGCGAGGAGCCATAGTATTTTCCCGGTCTAATACTCTTCCAGTGTATCAAGTTGCTATACGATAGACTAGGGCGGCGGCATCCTATGGAATGGTGGGCAGACACAGATATGCAGACGGGCCTAATCGCTGAACAGTGAGGCGCGTCGAGGGGTCAATTGCGCACAAAGCACTTACACAACGCGACGTGACAGCCTGATGTGGGCCTCCACTAAAGGCACCGATCTGCCTGCCTCCGCTACCTGGCCAATTAAAGCAGGAACGATCCAGTAAGTGGACCCTTATTCCGGGCTTCCTACCCTACACCACTTGAAAATCTTCCAAAAGCTCTCCCACACTTGGAGGACAATTCACCTTTCGTAGCCTGGTCTTTATGTCGAGATCATTCGTCAGATAATAGAGCTTCGCTCTTTTTCTTTCTTTGTATCGAGTGTAGACTCTATCCTAAAGTTGTCTGTCGCAGGGTCGAGCCGCCACTAAGAAAACTACGTCATGGAGGACGCGGAGCCTCAGACACTGCCGGGATTCGAAAAGGAAATCACGGAGAACGTGGTTGAATATCTCATATTCTGCATCGAACCAAATTCTGATGCACGAAAAGCACTCTCCCGGTTAGAAACAGTCCGTAAGGCGGCCATACAGACCTGTCAGAGTCTGACTAAAGACTATCTATGGCAACGGGACGAGTTCAATTTGGAGTTGAAGAACGAAGGAGGTAAGACTTGCAACCTCGATTGATTTTGAGAGGAACTGTACCGTATAAGATCATGTTACCTGTGTCAAGGTGGTCATGTGGCACGAAGATGCTTCCTCACCCCTGTTTGTGTTTACCCAATCTTTTCTTGTCCTAACTCATCAAATCGTTCTATAGGCTTAATCTACCTTCGTGGAGCCACCGACTACGGCGATGCCGTGGAAGATGAGTGGTTGATCGTTCACCTGCTCAGAGAACTTACACGATCCCACCCCAACATCTGGGTCCGGATCTTCGACAGCGATGGCGAATTCCTCCTCGTCGAGGCTGCCAACGTCCTACCAAAATGGCTGAGCCCCGAAATCGACCATAACCGGGTCTGGATCCACGATGGCAAGCTCTTCATCATCCCTTTCAAGGAACACTCTCCGGAGATACCCCGCGCTCTGTCACTACCGCTAGCACTGGACTTTATCAAAACCAAAAAGGGACAGCTTGTTCATTCAGAATTCATTGAGTCAGAAGCCTTCTACAGACTTGAGAAATACCCAGCCCAGATCTCGCAATCCCTCCACCACTCCCTGGTCACCATCCCACGGAAACTCGCCTACATTATACACAAGATCCCGAAATCCGTACCGCCAGCCGTCGAGGCTTTCTACACCCGAGACGCCCTGGCGCTGAAACCAATCCTATCACCATCACACACCTTCGTCTTCCCACCCGAGGATTTCGTCACCGTCAGCGTCAAGTTCAGCAAAGTCCTCTTCGCCCAGCTCCGCTCTCAACGCTTCGAACCGCCCCCAAAGTGGCAAGCCCCAATCCAAGCTCAGAGGAAGCAAGACACCACCGAGCAGGACCACTACGCACTAGACAACGGAACGAAACTAACCTGCGGGTTCGAGATCCTCGCCGCCAAGGCCGCCCAGCACACCAGCAGGGTCGTGCGCGAGCTCGCCCTCGAACTCGAGGACCTGGAGGAGGACGGCGACGAGGTTCTGCCGTCAGACGACGACATCAAGGGATGGCCCGCCTTCGACCGGGCCGACCCCGAGGCCTGGCTGGACATCAACTACGAGGACTTCGAGAACGAGCTCAGCGGCAAGAGGAAGGGCGAGGCAAAGGGGTCATCTGAAGGGTTCGGCGACGCAGACGCGCAGGCCAATCTGAGAAAGATTGTCTCCCGGTTCGAAGCATTCCTCAACGACGACCAGGCCGGCGTGGATGGCGTCGAGCTGGATGAAATGGACGAGGATGATGATGACCTCGACAGCGAGGAAGATAGCGACGCCGAGGACAAAGAAGTCAGCTTTGACGAGGAAGAGTTTGCAAAGATGATGCGTGAGATGATGGGGTTGCCATCTCCAGAGATTCCCACGAAGAGCGGAACCAAAGCAGGCAAGGCCACCAAGAAAGCTGATTTTGTGGAATCCGATGACGAGGATGAAGAAATCCGCCAGCTTGCGTCTGAGATGGAGGCTGAGCTAAGTAAACATGGCGTGCTGAAGTTGGACCCCCCAACGGAGAAGCGGGCACGCATCCAGGACAAAGGGAAGGGCCCGAAAGATGATACCCAGGGTGCGGGCTCGACGAATGCAGAGGAGGACAGTGACGAGGAAATCCAAGTCGATTACAACCTCGCTAAAAACATCCTGGAGAGCTTCAAGAGCCAGGGCGGAATGTCCGGCCCTACGAGCAACCTTCTCGGTATGATGGGTGTACAACTTCCAAGGGACGAGGATGACGAAGCCGAGCAAGCAAAGCAGGAAGCAGGAAGCTCATCACATGAGAAGAGATAGACCGAATTCAAATCGTGGTTTATTCTCGCACTTTAATATTTTGCACTCCTGAATATTCATTTGTTGACTTTGAACCCAATCGTAACCCGCTATTTAAAAAGGGCGAATATATCAGCTCGCTACACCAAACTTTTTGTTCGTGCCGACAGCATCTGTATCTATCCTAGCTTCACTGACGGCGGTGTTTTCCTGAAGCTTGTCCTCAAAGACAGTCTCATCCTTGATCTTATCAAGTTCGCTCAACACAAGCAGCAAGCGTCGGCGAGCCTCCAATTCAGCATCGCCTTGCCGGGTATGGTAATATTGCCTCGCTAAATCATTCAAAGCATGGTAGCAGTTGTAGAGAAGCAACCTAAGGGGCGCGGATTCTGCGTCTTCAATTATTGGAACGGAAGTGAAGGGGTCGTCCTCCGCTATTGGTTGGTGGAGGCCGCTCATGAAACTTTCAGGTGCCTTGTCGTTGAAAACGGTTGCGATCAGAGGGTCACCAAACACCAACATGCTCCAGTCACGCAAACCAGTAACCTTGTATTTGCCTCGAGTTTCTGGGGTAGCCGGTCTGGTACGAGGCCCGGGGTCTTGGTCCTTTGGGGGGCTATTGGGGGCTTTTGCCTCTTTTGATACTGTCGAAGAATCCGGACCATCCGCGTTTGATTCGACGACCAGTAGGTTTTGCATGTCACTGCATGTAATGGCGACCAGAGAAGGTCTCGTCACTTTGTCCAGTAGGGGCTTTAGTCGCTTAAAGTGGCCCCTTATGCGAGAATAGGCGATATTCACGAACCGATCTTCTAAATCCCGTAGAACCGACTCGAGCATGAGGTGGAAGGCACCTGACCATGACGTACTTCCAAAAATATACGGCGAGTTTGCTGGAGATCGGACAACAGGCCTCATTGGAAGCACTGACAATGGCCGCATAACAGAAGTAATGTCACCAAATCTTCCAGTGGGTGAGACATGGCAAGCAATGCGGCGGAATAGTTGCCCGGCCTGCTGATTTATGGATGCATAGTCATCGTTGTTCGGGGATAGGGGGAGCGATGAGACGGTATTGCCTGGTCGTGGGCGGCTGAGACTGTACTCGGGGACTTGGGCCTCAGGGATGGGCAGACCGTACCTAATGAGAGTTGGCAAGAAGCCTGATAGGTATAGCTTCGTGGAGTAAACGTCACTGTCAGGATTTTCTCGAACTCCGTGGCCGTCCTCTTCATTATTGGTGTTGCCCTCTTCTCCACGGCAAACCCCAGGGGATATAACGGCGTACCAAGCCCACAGAGCAGCTTCGGACGCGATGGAACAATATTCAGACCTTAAGGGTTTGACCCAAGAGTTATGTGCTGTGGTGAAAAGGATTGGGCCGTTCTCGCCAGCTATGTCAACAATGTACATCTGTTGAGGCCCGCCGTTTGGGGTGACCCGGACTCGGTCAATGGGGAGGCCTGGCAGAATGTCGCATAGTAGCGCGAACGCTTCTTCCTCGTTCGCGTTGGAACCCATGGATACGGGAAGACAGCCTATGTTGTGTATGATCGGGTTCGGATGACGCTGAGGACCAGTGGGCAATTGCAACAACATTTGAACACGAGTTTGCGTATCACGTAGCCAGTGGAGAGATTTGCCGTGTCAAGAATGAAATATCTTGATTTGGGTCCTGAACTCCAAACTGCCTGGAATCGAAAAGTGACTAGGCTCAAGTATGGCAGAGCTTGACGCTGCTGGAGAAGTCACCGTCTCAGGGGGCTGGGAAGAGGGAGTCGTTTGTGAACAGAGTTGAATATGGGTTTCGTTGAAGGGTGAGAGGCGCTGTGATAGTGATCTCGTAGGTGTTCTGATCCGATCGGATACTTTGGAAGAGGAGAATGAATGGCACCCGGGGTAGGTAGGCGGAGAGAAGGCGCCGTTGGTGCAAACTCTGAGGAGACTGGAACTATGAGGCGGTGCGATAATCAAGACGAGGTCATAAGAGAGACAACCGTCTGTATGACCAGAATGAATCCCGGCCGTGATTCATTAGACTAGACTGGTGATCCTTTATGGACCTAACAGTTGTGTGTATATAAATATTCGAACAGAAGTCGAGGGTGAGCGTGGCAACAAGCTGAGATGAGTTCGGCAACCGTCTCGCCTATTGCAATCCTATGAAGGTGTGAGATGTATCAGGTGAGCGGCCGGTGACGACTCGAGAGGCGCAGACACAAGTCTAACTCCACCAATAATGGTGAGTCGTAAGTCGTCGATGAAGGGTGCTGGACGGAAGGAATGTGCCAGGGCCAAGGTTGGCTCCAGTTAAGGTGCTTTTCCGTTACAGTGCGAACGGGATGGAGGTAGACACGAGGTGGTTATTTGACCCGAGTCTGGTGGAGGAACATGGGATGTAAAAAGGAGGGTGACCAGAGAGTGAGATGGATCGAAGGAGGCAACCAGGTGGAGGACAGGGAAGTTCACCCACATACACAAGCAAGCAAGCAAGCAACAAGCAAGAGGGGGGGGATTAGAAGGCAGGCAGGTCTACTCGGCAATTGCCTTGAGAGGGAGGCCAAGTTCTCGGTAGGTACCAATGGAAGACAAAGCGACAGTTGGTATAAGAGGCAGTGTGAAGAAGGCGAGGGGATGTGCGGTAGCAAGAGAAGTTAAGGCTACCTACTACCTGACTTACATTATAATCGGATCCAGCATAGCATTCTTTGGTGGCGGGATCAGCCATGGCCAGGCAAACCAGTCCCATCCGCCTCGAGACTTTCTAGACGCACGCTAGCCACGTGCCCGAGGAAATCCCACATCACATCACAAAACTGAACAGAGCAGCAGAACACAGCACCACAGCAGCCCGCACAGCGCATCATACCACGCTGGGCCTCACCTCCCTCACTCCCCTGAGACGCTTGGCAGGCATGGAGGGCGTGGAGCGCGTATCGGGCATGGGGGAGCCGGTGGACAAGGCCCACGGAGGTTGCTGACCACGATATGGATGGTCCGTTCTAGGTAGGTAGGTAGGTAGGTACGTGCTCGGCATCAGGCCGCTCGTCAAGGTATCGCTACCTTACTTGGCGGTAGGGTCTCGGGATAGGTGGAAACGAGTGTCGGAGCGATGTGCGATCAAGGTACTGCCTGCACGGGGGCGGAATGGCGAGAAGCGAGCTAGCAGGTGTCATGGCATGTTAGTCCGTCGCCAATTCCTGCAGGCGATTTGGCAAAGGGATTCGTGTCTGTATGTAGGTATGTATTGCACGTATAATTATTGTTATCCGTCCCGCCTCTACTTACTCGGACGGAAAAAGAGCCGCCACAAGCGGTGAATCTGTGAAATGGGTCTGAAACAAGCGAGGGTCCTCCGTTGTTCTGACCTGGCCAGACTGACACTTGCTGTTACTTGACGTCTATGTATGTGTGTATACGTCCCGGACCACGGCGTCGGCAGCCAGCTCAGAAGTCTTGAATATCTTCCGGGTAAAACCTCCGGCGGTCCATTGCCCCGATCCGGCCGTTGTTTTGGAGGAGACGACGCCCAGATGTTCTACAATGTTCAGAGCCGAGTGCTCTGGCGAAGATGCACCGCCCACGGGCAACCTGGCGTGACGGCCATGGAAAGCGAACCGCCTCACCTCGACCCATCTCCAATCCAGTCTCCATCTCCCCACGCCATCGCCGCCACGCCAACGCCCCTCGCATCTCGTGCTCTGGAATTAGCTCTGCCTACTGCGAGACGACGAGGTCGGGTCCGAAAGGTAAGCGACCTGCCCCACCCCGTATCACTTGCTGTTTGTTCTCTGCTTTTGACTTTATTACATACTTTACTTCTCCATGCACGGGATATGACCGAGGGCGAGGGACGTTAGGTTAGGGCCAACCTTGGCACGGAATGCTCCTGGGAGCGAATGATGTCGGCGGACCAAGCGAGAACACCCGGCAGCTGGACTTGATGGCTGCGCTGAGTGGGCCTAACGGGGCCTGGGCTAGCAGCTGTTGTGAACAAGGCGAGGGAAAAGGTGGCTACGCGGATCGAGGCTGGCGCATCCAGGAGGGAAAACAGCACAGTAGCGCTGCCTTTAGCTACATAATGCGGCGGCAGGTGTAGGTGAGTGTCGTCTGCAGAGACGTAGCTGAGGTGGTGGAGGTGTGAAAGAGTGCGGAACCCTTCCGTTTCAGGGAAGCGGACCGCTCCCAGGCCAGCGGAATTCTTGCCCAAGGCTCCAAGGCCAAGGCCCCAAGGCTGGGGAGGGTTGCATGCATCAATAACGTTCTTGTCCTTAATACTGCTGCCTACTGCTACCACGCACTATGCATGGCTATGTCGGTAAGCCATCACCGATTTCTGAGCTCTGGACACCTGGACCGGACTATCGTCGCGGATACTCGACACAGGCCAATCATGGGTGGTCCGTAGGGCTTCGCTCTGCATACCGCAAGCGTCTGACCACTGAGCTAGCCTCTCTCTGTCTGCGAGCAAAGGTTCTTCAGCAGGGAACTAGCTCACTCCCTCTCGCTTGACAGGAGCCCACTGCTTAATCAAATAAAAGTACGACGGACCCAAGCAATTAACATTGGAAGAGTAAGACGTGGGCAGGATGCTGTCTAAAATAGGCTGCCTCTGCGCTGGTCGCTACCAGGGCAAGCGAGTCGGGAATTAAAATCATTGGCTGGCTTAAGCGAGAGCCAGACAAAAGATCGTGACCAGGCCAGTTGCAAACTCAGGCAGGGGCCACCATGGGACCGATGCGATGGATGGCTCTTGACAACCGCCGCCTCTCTCCCACTGCACCTGCATACATACTCCCTATACCTGACAGACACTCGAATGCCATCCTGCTGTATTCTTAAGTCCATGGCTCGTATTGTCACATCATTAAGAGTAAATACTAGAATTTTCAAGAGATATAAGACTGCACATTTTCGATTTATATCGTTTCCATCCATGTCTTCTGTCACCTTGTTGGTAGAACCTCCTACCCACCTAGTGTATAGTATCCATCAAAAATTCCATCGAATTTTCCATCCTCGCCCACATTACGTATGCCCCGGCCAGCCCTGGCCAATCCAGGACTCGCAATAAGCTCAAAATCGAAAATTAAATTCCTTTGCACATCCTGATGTGCAGGGGGACCAATCCGCTGAGACTCGGCTTGCTTCTCCCGGATCAGCCATGGTGACATAGGCTCTATGTCTCACGCAGATATGAAATGTGACCTCATAGGTACAGGCCCTCATGACGGGAAACTCCGCAGGTTGATCGCAATGGATAGCGAGTCGTGCGAAACCTGCACCCCTAATCATGAACAAAGGCTTTGTTCACATGGAGGCCCTCACAGAGTAAGATGGTCAGAAAACAATCCCAGGTTGGTATAATTCCCGAATTATTGGGCGGTGCATGTATATCCAATTTTCCTTCTCCGAGAATTGTCGATGCAAAGTAAGCGATGTATACATGCAGAGAAAAGAGAAGCAGAAAGGATCCTGCAGCTGCTCATGAATCTGATTTCTCCTTGGCCTCATCCCCCTTCGCGGCCAGGTCCTCGAATGCCAGTCGGTAAATCTCGTTGACATTGTACCTCTTCAGAGCTTCGAACTCGGGCCCATCCACAACAGACATCCCGCAGAAGCTCTGTGGCACACGCAGGTTAGATCAGCTGACAACCGAGTACCCGTGAGATAACTAGACGTCGGAGTGCAACATACCTGAAAGACCTCAACGAGCACAGACTTGTCTGGCTTCGACAAGTTCACTTTGTGTTTTGGGTCAACCACCTGTGCAATCTTTTGAATGATTTCACTGGATTTCATAACCGTATGGCTCCGGACTGATGTGCGGAGCGCGAACTAGATGTGCATTGTTAGCTGGGAACTGGCCACCCACACCTGGAGTTATCGTATCATTGCGTACCGTGTATGGTGCGGTGCCATCTTCTGCCTGTGCTTGCCCTTTTTCCTCACTGGGTGGTTGTGCGTCACCCTCCCGAGGCGATTCGTCTCTTAGGGCCAAATACGGTGACATGACTGCTCGTGCAACCCGGATGATCCCATTTTCGGATGCCTTATCGGTGTCGGTAACCGGTGACAACCTGTTCACATACTTGAGTCTCCTCTGCGTAGGGCTGGAACACGCCCTAGCGTCCCGGCAGATCTTGAGCACCAATTCCTTGGGGTCTACCGGCTTCAGCGTCTTCACGAAGAAGACGCACTCGATATCAACATGGACTACCGAGAATACATGTCTCGGCTTCGGCTTGGACGACTTCATCTTCTCGAGGTCCCTCTTGATCTGGTCCTCGATATCCCCAGGCGCATCTTCCCCGTCATCCGAGGCGTCATCTGGATCCTCCCTCGGCTTGATGCCATACATGGACTCACCATACTAGCGTTGACCGATGAGCTTGACATCCCAACAGGAAAGTCGTATTAGGAATGGGGGAGGGGGAGGGGGATGGGGATTTCCCCCAATCTTTTCTCACATACCTCTTCGCAGAGTTCCTGAAATTCCCGCGCTGCCCTCGCCTTCATGCCTCTGGCACATGTGACCCAGATCCCCTCATCATTGACGGCCAGGACGACACCCCGGCCTACCTTATCCGCCATCTTGCTCTGATAATTGGTCGTAGACCACTTGCCTGCATTTCCACCCTAGAGAAAGACTTGTTAGCGAGCTGGCCTCAATGTAGCACGACGTACGTCGTCAAGGTATGCGCTATCACAAGTGGCAGCTGAGCCCAAGTACCTTGCTTTTCTTGAGGGCCGGGCCCCCTTCACCCTGTCCATGCTTGCGCTTGCCGTTTTCCTCTCCCATATTTGCGTATGTAATATTTTACGAACCAGTTGTCGCTTTAAAGTAAAGAGTCGAACTCAGGCGCAGGCTGTCCTCCTTCTTGTCGTTGACAACGATTGTCAATTGGCAGAGTTGGGAGAAGCGCACAAATGGATAAACAAACAATTGGACCAATTCAGGCGTATTATTATTGGAGGTGAGCGATGGGCATTGACTCCTGGCGATGGAGTATGAGCTCGATTCAGACAGCCGTAGTGATATGAGAAGGTGAAAATTGAGCTTAGAGCCTTGTGATGTGCATAAAAAGTTATGCACGCCACCGCCGCCACATTTTCTCGCACAACTTAATGCATCGCATTCTTCTTGGAACGAACAAATGTGCAACAAACAATCATTTGAAGTTCAATTATAAACATAATGGCTAATTCTGCCCTGTGCTATAGGATCATCATCGTCGTTTTCATAGCAATTTCTACTTCACCCATCACTCCGTCTTGGCATTATTCTGGGCGCTTGCTTCTGCAGTCATAACCAACGCACGTGGAGCATCCTCCTTGGGCATGTACAACTCGATAAACTGAAGAGTCTTTGCCGCATTGAACTCCTCGTCGGTAAGAAGATTGTTCAACTCGTCCTTGGTCTTGATGGTGAAAGTGCGACTTTTACCCCGCCCCCCAAAAACATCTACAACGCCCTTGAAGTCCCAGGCCACAATGTCGTTGTATTCAGCCTCCATGCCGTGAATGAACCTCTCGATGGTAAAACCATCATTGCAAATTACAAAGCTAGAGTAAGAATTAGAGGGGCTCATACTAACGTCCTAATATTGATGGAGCCACTTACATGATAGGATTCAAACCATGACGAAGCATGGTGCTCACTTCCTGGACAGTGAGTTGAAATGACCCGTCACCGACGAAGAGGATAGTTCGGCGATCTATGCCAGCATCCTTGGCTGCAAGTGCAGCGCCCTGACAAGAGCCGACGGACCATCCGATACTTCCCCAGAGAACCTGGCTGAGCGCCGTGACGTCCGGAGGGAACTTGGTGTCCCAGATGCCAAAGTTGGCAGTGCCTGTCTCTGTCACAACAATGTCTCCCTTGTGAAGGAACTCTCCCACGCGGGGCCAGAACCAAGCTTGGGTAATTGTTGGCGAGCTGTCCAAGTTTGCTTTAACCTCGTTGTCCACAGATGGGCTTGGTTGGGCGGAGAGCTCATCAGCCTTGATCGTGCTGGTTAGCTTTCGCAACACGCCTCTCATCCTAACCCCAGGATAATGAGAGTAGCGAGCAACACAATGATCGCTGTGCAGTTCAATTGAGTTGAGTTGCGATGTTCGGTATGAGAAGCCCGCAGTATTGAAATCACTCTATCAACATCGTTCCATCAGCTGTCCACTCAATCACACTGTTCCGAGAGATGGCTTACCTTGAGAGCGCCGATGGAAAGAACGAGATCAGAAGATTCGACGATATCCCGGACTCCAGGGGGGTGGGATCCAACACCTGCATAGACGCCGCCATAATTAGGCAGCGTCTCGTTAATTGCACCCTTGCCCATAGGTGTCACGAAGGTGGGAAGGCCGGTCTTGTCAGAAAGCGCAAGAACCTCGTCGAGGACACGATGGCGGATTGCGCAGGCATCGACAAGAATGACGGGGTGCTTGGCTGCTCGGAGATATTTCAAGACGACATCCACTACATAGTCTTCCTTCTCAGGGTCATTCTCGGGTTCAGAGAGGTCAATCGGTGTTTCTAACCGAGCGCCTTCAATCTCGATATTGACCATGTCTGTGGGAAGTGTAATGTACACCGGCCGCGATTGAATCCAGCACTCGCGCAGAGCATAATCAATCTGGTCCGCAATTTCAGAGGGGCGATTCAGCTTAGCTACTGCGCATGAGATCTCCGTGTTCATGTTGGAAAATATTTCAAAGTTGCCGTTGCCGAGAGTATGATGCAACAGCATTCCATTGCGCTGGGATATGGTCGAAGGGCAGCCGACAATATGGACGACAGGAATCATCTCCGAATAAGCACCGGCAACGCCATTGATGGCTGAAAGTTCGCCCACGCCAAAAGTGGTGATGAGAGCCGCTATTCCCTTGACGCGGGCATAGCCATCGGCAGCATATGCTATTCGGAAGCGTCAGTACTTGGTACGGTAAACCAGGGATGAGTCCAATTGTACGCACCTGCATTCAATTCATTGACACTGCCCACCCACTTCAAACCGCATTCTGGCAGGTAGTCGAGTGCCACCAAGTTGTAGTCGCCTGGAAGGCCGTGGACGGAACGGACACCCAACTCATGGAGGCGGCGGTACAGATACTGGACAACCTTGACTGGCTGCTTCAAGCTCTGAACCCTGATATCAGCCATATCTCGTGAGGTTTACTTAGGGTTACAATGGTCGGGTAAGTCGGCTTTTGGCTCTGGATGGCTGGAGGGAGGGGAAGGTTGGGTGAGAACAAGCGAAAAGAAGGGCAAGGAGGGTGAGGAGGAAAGCTAATTTATACCTTACGAATGCATGCGCCTACGGTTTCCCCTTTACGTGAAAGTGAAGCGAGCGGGAAGCACAGAAAAGCGGAGGAAGAATGGACAGGGTGCTAGACTTGGTGTGGCCAAGGAAGGAGACAGGCACGAGCGTGTCCTTCCTGACGGACGCAACTGGAGGCAATCGAGGGGCTGGAACGGCAATGGAATCAATTGACCATCAGTTTCCCCATGAATCCATACAAGACGAAGAGTCAACCGCCGTCTAGAGATAAATTAGGCCACCTGCCTCTCTCCATTCCTCTCTCGATTTCCTCTTCTCAGTCATATTCGCCTCATCCATCACGCCTCGCAATGCGACGCAAAATGGCCCGAGATGGCCGAAGGCTCTGGTGGGGATCAACGAACTATTGGACGATACGACGGCTTGTGGTGGCCTGCGACGTCGAAAGAGTGATGTAATCATTGAGTTTTATGATGCCCTGGTCCCAGAATTCCAGACAGATCCATCCCGGACACGGGGGGTGTATCCGTTTATCCATCTATCCCTGGCTGCCTCACCACATGCCGAGATCGCAGCGAATCACCTCAGTTCTCAGCTCACTTGCCTCTCTACCACGAGACGGAGCTTGAAATGCTGCAACGTGGGATGGCAAAACAGTGGCGTCTCATATAACTTGGCCATGGCCACATAATCGTGGATGGGTCGCGTCAGGCCATAGATAAGAACCCCCGATGGATGATCTGATCAATTCGCCTAGTCGGAGGGGTAGCTCGTCTACCCGATCTAAGGTGGCAACAGCCAACAATCCCGAGCGCTGGTTCCCGCTTCCGGCTGCTACAATGCCTGGATTGAGCATTCCCGCCTAGGTAGTTCCATTCGAGTACTGAAAGGAGCATCGGCATGTCCAGTCAGTAATTTGCAAGCTCTTTGTCATCTAGTTCATTGATTGGTGTGAGTTGGGTATTTCGGTCCCTCTATACTAATAAACAACAAACGTGGAGTGCCATGATTGACTTGCCCGATATCCGTCACACCAGCTGTCGGGCACCCATACATGCTCCAAAAAACTACATAGCCAGCCTTATCGTGGGATGGGATTCTTCCTTCTATAGATACATCGTTGTACAATAATATACACCATTCTAACAACGGAACAGAGTGTTTCCTTCTTGACCTTGCATCGTAAACCAAGCCAACGCTCAAACAAATCAACAGGTATACAAAGGCAGCCCAGCATGAGTGCCACCGACTCCCAAGTCCCTCCCCAGCCCCTCAGTCACAGCTCCCGTCCTTCGGTCCCGTCACCCACCTCTCCTGCCACTTATTGCAGTCGAAGACGGGCTTGCCGATCTTCCGGTTCACGTCGTTGTGCGCGCCGCAGAGCCACCGGCCGAATTCGTCCCTGCTCGCCACGCGGGGGGCTTCCCGGGCGATGTAGCTCTGAAAATCCTCCGCGCACACCCAGCACGGGTACAGCTTCGAGAAGAGCTGCACGAAGCTCACCAGGTCGCCTTGCTGCGCCCTCGACGGCGCCTCCGGGAACGTCGCCGCGATACTATGGAGCAAGGTCCAGCTACTCCGTCCGAGAGCTGCTACGTCGGGGGGGCATTCGGAGGCGGGCTTCTTCGTCACGGCGGTCGTCGACTTCGAGCTCTGCTTCGACGCTTGAGCAGCAAATGCAGAGAATGCTGACTTTGATGAGCAGCTACGGCATCTACGATGAGAAGGTGGATGTTAGCTTGGGTATTCAGGAAGGGGCAAGAGACAGATGACTAGGCAATATCCAAAGTGTGACTTACGGCTTTCCCTCCTTGTCTAGAACGACACCGTTGGGGAGCCTCGTGTAGCCACCTGGAAGCTTGACTCCCTGTTGCTCTGTGGCCGTGGTGCTGGCTCCCTGTTCGGTGGAATCGGTCATTGTCGGGTGATGCTCCAGATAGGGAGCTGCCTCAGGTAATCCGACAGGCAGAACGCGATAAACAAAATCAAATATTAACAAAAACAAAAGAAAAGATGCTTAGGATCGCTTTGTGTCCAGCCGTGGGAATTTGTCAGCTATGGATAGGCGCAAGCGATGGAGATCATGAATCCGGTCTAAGGAACGTGATAATTCTAGAAGCGCTGTTCTATCGATAAGACCCCCCACCAACCCCACGTATCCACCAGCGTCATTCGAAAGCAATGAGCACTCATTCGCTCTCATGTCGGATGGGCTGGCCAACTACTTAGGTCACAAGTAGAACTCAATCGTGGTGTGTGGCAGGCCCAATTCATGTAGTCGTCTAGCTATCATGGCGTCAAACAATCCTCCCAGGGTGCCTATGCTTCTTCTGAAGACAAAATCCACTCCCATCGACACCTACGAAGAGCTCTTCTCATCAACGCCAGTGCCAAGCAGCGGCAGCGATGAGACGCGGACGAGCTTCTCGCCCCAATTCGTCCCCGTCTTGCAGCACAGGCTCGAAGAGCCTGGCGTCAATGCCCTGCGGGACCACCTTCAGCACCAGTCTATATCCCCCCGTGAGGATGGCACATATGGGGGCCTCATCTTCACATCCCAGAGGGCCGTCGAGGCATTCGCCAAGACGGTCGACGAAGGCAAGGGTGCGTTCCTCTACCCCCCCAAACCTGTTCGCAACATCGCAGGTACATGATCCTCAATGACAGCCCGAATTAACTCAATGGCCACTCTCCGGCGCATCCACAGGCGACCCATCATGGCCTCACCTTCAGAACATCCCCATTTACAGCGTCGGGCCTGCAACCACACGAGCCCTGAGAGCCATCCCCCAAGCCCCCTCGCCCCTACAGGTCTTCGGAGAGCATACGGGCAATGGAGAGGCCCTATCCCACTTCATCCTTGACCACTACAGCGAGTGGTACCCCGGAAGGACCACCAAGCCCGCCCTCCTCTTCCCCGTCGGCGAGCAGCGCCGCGACATCATCCCCAAGACCCTCATGGACCCGGCCCTCCCCGCCGACCGAAGGATAGAGGTCACCGAGAAGGTCGTCTACGGCACAGGCGTCATGGAAAGCTTCCTGTCCGACTTCACCGCCGTCCTCGAGGACACGGCCGGGGCGCGCGAGAGATGGGTCGTCGTCTTCTCGCCCACCGGCTGCGACAGCATGCTCCGCGGCATGGGCCTCCTCGGTGAGGACGGCAAGGTCGCGGGCGCCGCGGCCCGCCGAGATGGCAAGACGTACGTCGCCACCATTGGCCCGACTACGAAGCAGCATCTGGAGTCCAACTTCGGCTTCTCGCCTGATGTGTCCGCCGAGAAGCCGTCGCCTGAAGGTATTCTGCAAGCGATAGCAAACTATAGAGCTTCAAAGAGTAATTGAACTCACTGTATTATTTTGGATACCACACTTATTGTATATCAGCCACCGAAAAAAGGCCCCCATAAATCGTTATAAGTTGAATTAATTAGGGTATCATGATCTATCCATCGCTCCTATATACATAATATTCTTTTTTTGTGTCCGATAATAACGAGGCCATGCTCTGCAGTCCGGTTAGGATAGAATCCAAAAATAAAAGTTCAAAAATACCACCCATTTTCATGGGGCCGAGGTCCCGTCTTTGGGGTTCCCACTGAGCCCGCCCTTTTGATACTCTTTCAGCCAGTTCTCCAATGCGAGCATGATTGTTGCGAGCAAAACGCCGAGAGAAAAGAAGAAATCACGAATGCCAGTCCGAGATATCATACGCCCATGACCCAAAGCTCAACGCCCAAAATACCAAACTTGTCCCCTTCGTCGCTCAGCGGCTCGTTCCCAAAGGTATCGCACCTAGAGCTGTGTCCCATATCCAGTGAGTTGTCCAACCACAGGCCATAGTGACCCCCACCAGAACCAACACTGAGGAAGCCCTGCTCGCAGTTGATGCAGTAATCGTTCAGCCCGCTATATGGGAAGGCTTTGAATCGTATCACGTCGCTTGGCGTAGGGGAAGAGGCGCCGGTGGGAGACTTCATCGGAGCCAGTGTGGTGTTGCGGCCGAGGTCGGTAGTATCGGCTGAGGGCGGAGGTGGTAGAGAAGCAAGCATGGACGCTCGCCAGAGAAAACACTCTCCATTTCCAAAGTATGAGGGTGCGGGATGGGGGTATTCGGAAAGGTAAGCACCGAAAGTCTACAATGAAGGGGTCAAAGTCAGCAAACAAAGCCTAGATGCGAGGGTAGAATAGAAGAGGGTGGGGGTTGGCCTACCGAGCCTTCCTCATCCTTGACAACGAGCACAAACCCAGCTCTGCCACCTTGGTACTCTCGACACTTCTGATAAAGAGTCGCCAGGCTGGCGCCGTCCTGCTCTAGACTGTACGCCAGGTGCCAGTCGTCGATAATACGTAGCCTCTCGGGGACCATGGTGCGAATCTCCTCTGCCACCCCAAGGTTCAACAGCCTAGAAGCCTCAGGCGTGCCTTCCTTGTAGCCGTGAAGGATGAGAGGGTCGAGTGGAGGTGGTCGGAAGGGGCTCGCCGTCCGCCTCGTCGGGCTGAAGACGCCATTGATGCCGTCCTTGAGGTTCTGCGAAGCGCTCAAGTCAAGCTGCTCCGAGTGAACGGTCTCCTCGGTCGAGAAACGTCGGATTATCCCCCACATGCTGGACACCAGGCCACCGTAGGATGAGCTGACGCTTGCAACAGAGGCTCTTTGGCTGTTGGAGGCTGGGGTCTGGGCGCCGGAGGAAGGAGCACTGTCTGGCGAATCACTCCGTGTAGGCTGGTTCATTGAAACTCGGGTATCTGCGTCGAATATAACTTAGGTGTAACATGCGCCGCACCACACCGGGATCGTTGCACGATGGCTTGGGCGATCGAATGTCTCAGAGATGTTGCAGGGTTGCGTGCAACGGAAGGCGGGTTGCAGGGTTAGGTATCGTCGTACGTTGGCCGGCTCGCAGAGAACAACGAATAAAATAGAATAATATTCCCAAAGACAAGTAGGAGAAGATTAAATTTCTGACACGAGCGGACAGCCAAGATTGAAATTCTTAGGCAGTCCAGGAAAAGGCCATCCAATGCATAAGATCTTAGTAAAGGGCGAACCAGGCACGAAGCATCGAGAAGTTAAAGCCCGGAAGCAGCCCAACCAGTGCTGACGTAGGTGGTAAGCTGTTAAGTACTAGCGGAGAGTCCTTCTGAAAGCTGGGCTGTTTGTAGTATGAAAGCAACACTCTGGCACTGTAGCCAGCTAGGGCGGGTGTTATTGCTAGTGGGGTTTGGGGGGGTACTGTGTCCCTCGGCGCCACCGCCCGGCATCAAAGTCAGAAGTGAGCCTCCAGCACGCGCTCAACTTACCCACCACGGCGATTAGATAAAATCCTTGGGTCGCAATGCTGACTGGCCAGTGTCTAATAATGGAGATTCAACTCCCGGTCATGCCACAATTACAGGGACCATGTGGTCCGGGCGCCACCTGAGGCCAGCAAATCATCCCGGCTACGTACCCAAGTGGGTGACAGAGGAAATGGCACACCTAAGCACTGCCTTAACAATTACTCGATGAGCTATCTTTTATAGCGAGCTGTGCAATTACCAAGACAAGATTATAGGGAAAGTATATCAAGATATAGATATTGATAATCTATAATCTCTGCTTAGGATTAGATACTTATTCGGATATTCAGGTGTGTATTTGGTTGTTTATTTGGGTGTGCCATTTCCTATGTCACCCACTTGGTACCCTCACAGTGCACACTGAGCGACGGAAATAGCGGTCTCGCCATGACGCACCTTGAACAAGACATCTCGAAGGCGCAATTGAACGTCATCTACGTGCCCATACGCCAAAATTTATTAAGATAAGAGTCATAAAACAGGGAAGCAAGATGCGGAATACCCTCAACGAGCACTGCCATAGAATTGGACGGAGCATGAATGAGGAAGTCATTTTCAACAAGGGTCATTTTCAACAAGGTGAAGTGAACTGGAAAATGAAGTAATTCGGTTCGAATTCCGGCCGTTGTCTCACATGATATTTCGTCGCCAAATCCAACTAAAGAATTATATGCAATCTCGTCTTAATCAGTCGAGTACACATTGTCCTCCGCTAACTCGAAATGGCTCTACACCGTTTATTCCATCCAGCCTAATGCTTAAAAAAAAATCCTAAGAGAAAACAAATATGAAAAATGAAAAAGAGAAGAAAGGTTTGAAAATATAATAAATGGCTAGGTCAAGGCTCTCGAAACAGAGCCTCGTCCTAGACCAAAGGCTTCGCAGTGCTACAAGTGCTTCCATTCTTGTAGTCTTTGCTCGGCCTTGAAGAAAGTTTTGAAATTTTGTTGAAAGTCAACATATTTCAAGCTCATCGCATGACCTCCTGGTAGATGAGCTGCTTCAGCTGCTCCTTGCTCAGGGTGTCTTTGTGCTTGTCGAAGTCGAAGAATTCCTCGGGGATGGGGGGAGCGGTGGGCTCATCATCGGGGTCGTGGTAGGGCTCAAGGTAAGGGTGCTTGAGAGCCTCATCCACGGTGATACGCTTCACAGGGTTGAAGGCAAGCAGCTTCTCGAGAAGGTCCAAAGCCAAGTCCGAGGTCTTGGGGAACAGAGTTCGGAATGGAACCTTCTTCTTGAAGGGAAGAGACCTGATGTATTCCCGAGCACGGCGAGACTTGATGCCGTAGTAATCCTCCATTGTAGGTGTTCCAAGAACGTCCAGGATCAGGGTCAACTGGTGATGGTCTGCGGGGTCCAAGAGTCAGCCAACGGAGATCCTGAAAATGGGGGTGGCAATGAAATGCCAGATAAGGTGAAACTCACAGTCCTTGCCGGGGAAGAGGGGCTTGCCGCTCAGCATCTCAGCCAGAATACATCCGACTGACCACACATCGATAGCCTTGGTGTACTCCTTGAAGGTCAACATGATTTCGGGAGCACGGTACCAACGGGTGGCAACGTATTCGGTCATGAAACCAGAGTTGTCATCCTGGGAGGCGGCAGATCGAGCAAGACCAAAGTCGCAAACCTTCAAGTCGCAATTGGCGTTGAGGAGCAGGTTGGAGGGCTTGAGATCACGGTGAAGAACATTGGCAGAGTGCATCGCCTTGAGGGCGCGCAGAGTCTGGTAAATGAAGTATTGGCAGTGATCATCGGAGAGGTCCTGAGTGCGGATGACTCGGTGCATGTCGGTCTCCATGAGCTCCTATTCAACGAGTTAGCAAGCTCCAATCGCACGTCAGCGAGTTCGCAGAAGAATCATACCTGAATGAGGTAGACCTCGTTGAAGCTGTCATAGCCTCTGGGTCGCTGGATATCCAGAATAGAGATGATGTTTTCGTGGTTGAAGTAGCGGAGCAGCTTCATCTCACGGAGGGTTCGGAGACAAAACATGGAGTGGTCGAAAGGAGTAATCTTCTTGATGGCAACTTTCTGTCCGGAGGGCTTGTGAATAGCAGAGCTTGGTTCACGTTAGCGAATAGTCGTGGGACAAGGAGCTTCCCCTCATGGGTGCAATGCTTACCAGACAACTCCGTAAGCACCCTCACCGACAACGTCCTGGATATCATACTGCTCGCTGACGTTGAAGGAGATCTTGCGAGAGTTCGCGCCGCTGGGCTGAGCTGCTCGAGACATGATGGGCAACCCTTTTTCTCTGACTTTTAGGTGACAATCTGTGGTGGTATTATCCCAGACGTCTAAAGACAATCACACAACCTAATGTGTGAGATGATGCAGGGTCGTCGCCAAAGCTTCTCAACAGTGTATTCTGGTCCTTTGACTAGTCTTGTCCAATATTCGAGACGATCGCGAAGGGTGGGTATGAACACGAAAGAATTCGGTAACCGAAAATGAAGAAACGCTATGCTCAGGTTCGATGTCGAGACTGGTCGGGACAGATCGTTGGTCAGCTTGGAGGAAGCAAGGAAAGGGAAGCAACAAGCAAGCGAGAGACTTGAAGAGAAGAGAAGAAGAAAAGGAAATAGGAAAAAGAAAAACCAAAGTGGTGATGAAGAGGAAGGGAAAGTGGAAGAAGGGAAGAAGCTAAGCGCGATATAAGAGCTTTAAGCAAGGCAGTGTGTGGTGGTCGAGTGCAAGTTGATGATGACCAGGTACTCACACCCCTCCTCCGGTCAGGGACGGTTGGGATGCAGTCAAGATGGAAAGACCCTTGACAAGGGTATATGCGATTGTAGCTTCTGCGCATGGACGCAAATCAGATATGACTTGCGTCTTGAGTGCGAGACAAGCCGGGGGCTGAGTCTTCAAACTCCATGGTCTGTGTTTCTATCCATATCTTGGGATTTGAGGGGTAGTAAGAGACGGGGCAAGGTACACATACGCCAGAAGAGACCGGACAAAATGAAACAGCAACGGCGAACGGATAAAGCGACAGCTCC